GGTAGGAGAAGAATCTTGAAGGGGAAAGCTTGCTGGTAGAAGTGAAGTTGTTTGTGGGATTTTTTTATGGAAGTTTCTGGGATGGAATGTGTTAATGGGTCTGCTCAGGACGATGGAGAAAGGTGCAGATTGCCCACATCGTGAAATGGTGTCTGGGCCAGAAGACATCTGTGAGTATCCGGCACAATAACTCAGCGATCAGTGTGGGCCAGATCAACAGTGAAGGAGAAAATACCGATTTTTATACAAGCTGCAGTACCAGAACCTTCATGAATCTAGGAGAGAACAACGTGCGAGATAAGCGGAGCATCTGTGCTCGCACACCGATTGACACTTTCGGTTCAAAAATACTTATAAAGTAGTCATTAATGCTTATTTAGTGAACCACCCCAAGTTAGAGGAAGCAATTTAAAGTGGTGCCTACATGATTGCCAAATTGTAACTGCGTTCAATTGTGATTAGTTTTGGATGAATTCTCCTAATGAGAAGGTTTCAAGGACATAAAAAAACATTTTCTTCAGTAAAAAAACATGATTACAGCTGCTTTGATCAGGTAATCAACACCAGGAGGCAAGGATAATGTAAAACAAACATGATGCTAACCTTGTTGAACTCCACGAACTGTGGCTGTGAGGAAACGGGAGTTTGGACGATGCCTAACATTGGGCTTTCGCAGATATGCATGAACACCTTCCCTGTCAGCCCCTAACTGTAATCTCCGTGCTTCTTCAAGGAGTAATGAAGCTAGACGATTCTCTGTGTCCAGATCCATTGCCCAATTTGAACTTCAGCAACTATGGAGACAGAAATGAAATATTTAGTACATTAAACAATATTAAACTCTGATCTAAAGCAACATCAAAAGAACAATTTATTAGCAGTCAAATCACAAGTATGACAGAAGGGCAGGCGTGGCGCAGTTGTTAGAGTCTCTTCGCTTGTGGCCTAGAGGTCCTGGGTTCGAACCAGCCTCCTTGCAGAATTATTATGCAAGAGTAAGGCGTCCAGAAATTGCCTTCCCCAGACCACACCTTGTGTGGCCGTTTTCAGCACTGTGTACGCCCTTTTTCATTCACAAATTCACAAGTATGACACCGAGGTTCTACAAACTGAACTTTACAACAAAAATCCAATTTTCACACCATATTTGATGTTTGATAAAAAATACTACTCCCTCCGTTTTTAAATACAATGCCACTATCAAAAATACAATTTGCAACTATACAAGGCTACTATCTCTTCCCAAGAAGCATTGACTAGATTTTTGCCTCGTGCGATGGTGCTTATTAATGAGAACGTTGCATGCAGCCATAGAGAAAGAGGCACCACATGCAAAATGTTTAATTAGCCCGGAACATGAGAGGTTTTCCACACAATTAACTGTGCTATTTATTAGTTGGCTTTGTTTTCTTGGTATCTGAAAAATGAGATAGTGACCTTGTATACAAAAACAGAGAGAGTATAAATTATGAACAAAAGTGGGGTTTTCAGACTGGCATCCTATGTTAGATTATCACTTTAAATTTTACTATCTATTCGGCAGGATTACTAAACTGCCTATAGTTATGAAGAAATATCAAATCCTTGTGAACAGCAGCATGGATCTGGAACCTTCAAGATGACAAGGTGCAGGTGATGCTCGGATGTGGGCTCTCTTTAACATATAAACAGAGTCGCCATGCTTAACTGTTGTGCCAAGCGGTCCCATAAACTAGTGATTCCGTCCTACAATAGAGTCAATCCTACAAGCTAATAAATCTTACCAATTAGTTATTGTAAAATGGACTTCCATAAAAGTTAAAAAAATTTGTTCAGCTTCAATAATCTTGAGGATTTAGAACAGCAAAATCCAAAAGGCGCATTTTTCCTACCTTCTACGAACAGGGGCAGACTAACGGCCAGTTCAGCAACCCTCCAGCCCTCATAAATCAAAAACCTCCACTCCACTAATACATTTGGAATTTGGCAAAACATTCCACCGCCAGCTCCACCCCCTCACATGTATATTTTACAGAGTCTTGCTCAATGAACAAGCATACCCCATGTTTCCATTGGTGGGTTTTTTTTTTTTGAGAGAGGATGTTTCCATTGGTGTTGCGCAGACAAGGTTGCAAGTTCGCTTCGCAAATATATGTACTCAAGGTATTCAAATAGTATAAATTTCGCACGAGGCAACTTTGCAAATGTTTCAAATTGATGATACAGATTTAAATTGCATAAATGTCACAGTGCAATGATATGCCAAATATAGAAGGATCGTAAGATTCTTCGGCATTACAAAACACTGAACCAGCTAGAAGGGGCCAAAAAAATTACAAGTGTTCTCAATGGATTTCACACCCAAAGTCACACAACGATATCACAGCCAATTAATACAAACCTGCTGTTACTTATCAAAACTGAGCCGGACATGAGCTGGGAGTCGAGGAGAAGGAGGGGTCAGGAGCTCACCTCGCTGTCGCTGATGAAGATCTGCTGATGCCGGGGAAGAGCGGACCCGCCCTCGCGCGGATGAAGGACGCGGGGGCCCTAAGTGGAGCAGCGGAGGGCGTCGCCGTCGACGGTGAGTGAAGGAGGCGGAGGCGCGCGGATCAGGATGACGGAGGCGCGGGATCCGAAGGAGAGGGGCCGGAGGGAGGGATCCGGAGGGGCAGCTGAGGGCGGCGGGGATGGGCGGGCGCGGGAGGGAGGGAGGGAGGAGGGAGACCATTACCTGGCCGGTGACACGGTGCAGAGGGGGGGTGGCAGGTTGTTCCCCTCTCCTTCCGATCAGACACCGCCGCCAACAAGCTAGGGAAGAAGAGAAAACAGAAGAAATCAGTACGAGATGGAAAAGGGGAGCAAGGAGAAGGGGCCGAGTGACCTCGATTCGAGGTCGAGGGTGGCTGCCGCCGACGGAGCCGATTGAGGTCGGCGGCGCCGCCGATGCTCCTTCCTCTCACTGCAGTGGAGAGAGACTGCGGAGGAGAAAAGTGCAGGCGAATCCTGGCCTGGACAAGCCCGGCCCACTGTCAATTTATTTTTAAGAAAAAACAGCCTATGGCTTTGCTGAGTCTCCAATCCAAAGCCCAGCTATCCACGCAAACCTTCGTGTGATTTGTTTCTCAAAACAAAAAAAACTATTGTGTTATAGGGGCCAGTGTGTCCATCGTAACAAGAGGGGCGGGAGCGCGAGGACCGTCTCGTCACCGATGTACGGAAGAGGAAGCTATTTGTGTCTGTATCCTCCGTAAGCGACACATGAGGAACGTGCATGCCCTCACCCCGAGAGCAAGCCCGGACGGTCCGTGCCATAGCCCGAATGCCACCCAAAGAGAAGAAGGACGACAGTGACGGGGCAGATAACTCCGGCGAGGAAGAGATCCGGCTTGATCCATGTTGTATTAGAAGTTTACGATGCACGTGTAATGTGAATTTGCGGTTTGCTAATTGAGATATCCAAATATGGGAACAAAAATTTAAGGTGTCATCGAACGCATCCGGTCATGTGCGTGGACGTCTGAGGGGCCAATTTAGCTGTAGATGCTCTAAGCACCATTTTCGGCAAACACCCACGTGCAAAATTGATTTCCCTTTACATGGATCAGTATATACACCCTCCCCGTGGTTTTAGGCCCAAACCACGGGGATCCACACGGAAATAGTCACGGCCTATTCGATCGATTTACCCTCGAGTGGATCTTTATTCAACCCAAACCCCTCAAAACCATGAGGAAAAATAATTAGCTCCTACACACCCGTGGGAAAAATCATGGAGAATCTCATTACGTATAAACAAACACCCCCACAACGTTAATAGGAGTATATTTCTTTCCAAATCAACGAGAGGTTGTTCCAGTGCATGGAGAAGCCATTCGTTCCCGTGTGCTCAACTTCCTTAATTGTTGGTAGCCTCCAAACAGCAGACATGGTACTCCAAGGCTCTCGGGCATAAGCAAAAGGGATGGAAATTGTCTTCTGTGCCATTGCCACAAAATGGACGGACGTTGGTCTCCCAAGTCCTCCCTTCTGTTTGTATTGCCAGGTTGGTAATGAATCAGTTGCAATACCCCATGAGACAAGAAATTATAGCAGGAGAAACATCGCAGGACCAAATGTACTTCCAACACGGTCTGCATCCATCAGGAGTCGAGCTTGATGCAAATGCATTGTCTCCTGTAGCTTCCTCCAACGCTAGAGTATATGCATTTTTTACCATAAAAAGACCATATTTCCCCAAGCTCCATGTCAACGTATCATCACACGTCTTGGGGAAGATCTTATTTTTAGTATCTCGGATCCATCACACGGCAGAAAGTGGGTTTGCACGGAGTCAACCCCCACGGATACTCCTTTCTTTTATTATTTTTCGAAAAAACTTCCAATCTATTCATCTTCAATCATGGCAGTACAACGAATACCAGAAATAAAAATTACATCCAGATTCATAGACCACCTAGCGATGACTACAAACACTGAAACGAGCCGACGCGCCGTCATCGCCCCTCCATCGCCGGGCACAACTTGTTGTAGTAGACAGTCGGGAAGTCATCGTGCTAACCCCCACGGATACTCCTTTCGTTCTCAACTCTCCTAATCGTTGTCCATGACGAAGAAGCATAACCCGCGAAAACTATGTTCTCAACCTTACCAAGTGAATAATGACAAGCTTTTAAAATCTGAGCACACAAACTATCTTGCTTAGGCTGGTTGTAATGGAGAGTATCATGATACTAGTATATATTACTACCTCTGTAATGCATAGTATCATAAGTTAGTATCTTAGGTTTGTTAGATTGATCTCTTCCCCAATGGGTCCAACGTCCCATTGGACCCTTGACCCACGCCCTGATCGGGGGCATCCAGCCCAAGCAAGGCTGATGGGCCCCTATCGCGCAGTGCCATATAGAGGAGGTGGGGACCACGGCACAAGGTATGAGGTTCGTCGCCGCCACTGTTCCCCACTCCTAACCCTAGTCCGATCGAGAGGGAGGCGCTGAAGCGATGGGAAGCGCCACCAGCCACTTCACTGTCAACCTCTACGCCGAGCTCCCCACCATCACCATGGCCGGCACCGGGAGTTCCTCGAGTCACAGAGAAGGTACTCCACCATATATTCCTAACCCTAACCGATCCAAAGCAATCTATCAATGCTATCAGACAGGTTTGGTTATAGAATCTTCGGTACAAAGAAAAACAGAGATAGAAAGATCCCCCCTCCTCAAGAACCCTAACCCTAACAGAGAAAAGAGGGAAAAGAAATCCGAAAAGTAGTGCCGCCGCACGGCCGCCCCGTTCCTCTCGGTCCCGAATCGCATCGGCATGCCGAGGATTCGGGAAGAAGAACTCCACCCCGACCGAGGCTAAGGGCACCGCGGCCAAACCGTTCGACGGTGACGCACTCACTGCAAGGCGAACGCGCAGCCGGTGAAGGGGATGGCAACGGCGCCACCACCAAGTGCTCCACCATCGCCGTCTTCAAGCGAGGCAGAGGAGGAGCGGGCGCAGCTGCGCCTTGTTCTCTCTGGAAAAGGGGGCGGTGGATGGAGAAAGAGAGGGAGGAACAAGAGCAGGCACGCGCGCAGCGGTGGCCGCTCGATGCCGTCGCCGACGGCAGGACAGAGACTCGTCGGTGGCCTTGCGGGACAGGAGCAGAAGATAGCTCCGCCGCGCCCTTATCTCTCTCTCTCTCTCTCTGTCAAAGAAGAGGGGTTAAGAAGAAAATGCGGCGCGGTGGCCATTGACGCCGTTGCCGGCGGCCGGCACGACCGAACCGGCCGGCGGAGCCGCCGC